CAGCAAATAAAGAGCAATACTAAAAAAGCAGGGGAATTCCAGACAAGAATCAATCAGGACCTGCTAACACCTCTAAACAAAGGATTCCCCAGGCACCAATCAGCCAGGCTTTGAAGCTGCAAGGCCATTAAATGGTAATCAAGGTGGACAATTTCAACATTCACATTTGCCTCAAGCAGACAAGACTTCTTTCTCCAACTCTGGACATTCCACAGATATGTAAACATCAGTTGCCTAATTTCCAACAAACCCCTCAGCCTCTGAGGATGCCTGCCATAGATGTGGATGAAACGTCAGCAAAGAACAAGGCCACACAGCCTGGAAAACTAACAGCAACCCAGTGATTTTGGCCATGAAAGCCTTTGACAACTCATGCTACCTGGGATTGTTTTGCACAAAAACACAGCATTTTTGCAGAAAAATGTTGATGCATTGAAATATTATTTTCTATACCAAAAATGCAATTTCCTGTGAAAAGAATACTTTACTTGAGGATTGGTTCTGTGCAGTTTGTTTATAGTTGTTTTTCCACAGAAAATGCTGTTCCTGGCACAGAAAATAAAAAAGTATGAAATTTTTATGTAGCAGGAAGAAAATTGCTAAAATTAGTCATTTCATCATCCAAGAAGAAAATCAGCAAAGACTTGTATACCTATTAGAAAGTGGTAAAGACAGCTCTGCTGTGGATGATACAAAAGTAGGGGTTAAAAGGACCTTTTTGAAGGGTGCATGGAGATTCATATCATGCTAAGATTGCCCCAGTTTTGTGGTGTTATGCAAGTTCTACAGATCTCAGTTAATGACTTTGGAACATGACTTTGGTTGTTGAGTAGCTACCCGCACTTGTCTTCATAATCCGGGGTTTATAATGGCCCGGCATGTATTCCATCTGATTCTATTATTGACTACAGCTTTGCAAATCAAGACAAAATGGATTATTAAGAGGCAGCTATAACTTCCTTTTTAAGTTTAATTGCTGAAACATAGGGATAATTTTAATCTTGTTTAAAGAAGTAAAGCTTCTTAGCATCGAATTGGGAGATTCCACAGAGTATATTTTGTCAAAATGTACAGAGACCCAAATTGGTTGTTCTTAGAGCCAGTATATAGATGTGTGTGTGTGCTGTGTGTGAGAGTGCATTATTCACCATTTCAAGGGCACGAAGCCATTGGAAAGGAAAAAAGACTTCAAATGAAAAAAGTCTTTGGTCATATTGTCTTGAAATTAAGGGCTGAGAGTCAACCATTATGGGTCAATGCAGTTTGAGTATTTGACTAGGGCCTTGGGAAACTGCGGTTTGAACCTAAAAGCCTGCTAGGTGAACTTGGGCAAGTCATGTACTCTCAGCTTCAGAGGAAGGCAGCGGAAAACTTCCTCATAGATCTTGCCAAGAAAACTCTAGAATATGGTGCTGTAACGGAACTGGAAGAGTCAGAGTAATGTAACAACAACCACCAACATTTTGCCAAGGTTCAGATGGCTTTCAACAAATAAGAACTAATGATCCCTGATTCTGATAACATGTTTTCAATTGATCACAAAATCATAGAACCTTAAAGTTGGCAGAGACTAAAAGAACTATCTAATCCAGTGTCTCTCAACCTGGAGGTCAGGACCCCTGGGGAGGGGGTTGCAAGGGGGCTTCAGAGGGGTCACCAAAGACCACCAAAAAAATCTATAGAATCATAGAGTTGGAAGAGACCTCATGGGCCATTCAGTCCAACCCCCTGCCTAGAAGCAGGAATATTGCATTCAAAGCACCCCTGACAGATGGCCATCCAGCCTCTGTTTAAAAGTTTCCAAAGAAGAAGCCTCCACCACACTCTGGGGCAGAGAGTTCCACTGCTGAACAGCTCTCACAGTCAGGAAGTTCTTCCTAGTGTTCAGATGGAATCTCCTTTCTTGTAGTTTGAAGCCATTGTTCCGTGTCCTAGTCTTCAGGGAAGCAGAAAACAAGCTTGCAGTACAGGGAGGAGGGAGCTCCCTGTGACTTCCTCTCATATATTTATACATGGCTATCATATTTCCTCTCATCCTTCTCTTCTTCATGCTAAACATACCCAGCTCTTTAAGCTGCTCTTCATAGGGCTTGTTCTCCAGACCCTTGATCATTTTAGTCGCCCTCCTCTGGACACGTTCCAGCTTGTCAATATCTCTCCTCAATTGTGGTGCCCAGAATTGGACACAATATTCCAGGTGTGGTCTAACCAAGGCAGGATAGAGGGGTAGCATTACTTCCCTAGATCTAGACACTATGCTCCTAATGATGCAGGCCAAAATCCCATTGGCTATTTTTTGCCACCACATCACATTGTTGGCTTATGTTTAACTTGTTGTCCACAAGGACCCCAAAATCTTTTTCACACGTACTGCTCTCGAGCCAGGAATTGTCCCCCATTCTGTATCTTTGCATTTTGTTTTTCCTGCCAAAGTGGAGTATCTTGCACTTGTCACTGTTGAACTTCATTTTGTTAGTTTTGGCCCATCTCTCTAATCTGTCAAGATCGTTTTGAATCCTGCTCCTGTCCTCTGGAGTATTGGCTATCCCTCCCAATTTGGTGTTGTCTGCAAACTTGATGATCCTGCCTTCTAACCCTTCATCTAAGTCATTAATAAAGATTTTGAACAGGACCGGGCCCAGGACAGAACCCTGCGGCACTCCACTCGTCACTATATTCCTGATGGTCTTAGGAATCCCTTTGTAGATAAGGCTGAAAATCTCTCCACCTGTCTTTCTCTTCCTTTTTGGAAAGAAAGGGTGAATCTTCCCACCAAAAGCTCTCCTCCGTTGGCCCACCTCTCAGCCAAGGGGAGGGCTCTTTCTGAAACTCCAAGTGGGGAGGGGAGAGCTAGGTGCATGGCGAGGCTAGAGGGAGGCTCATGCCATCAAGTCCCTTCAAGGCATGGAGGTTCTATGTGGGAAGTTTGGCCCAATTCTTTCGCTGATGGCGTTCAGAATGCTCTTTGATTATAGATGAACTATAAATCCCAGCAGCTACAAATCCCAAATGACAAAATCAATTCCCCCCTAGCCCCACCAGTATTCAGATTTGGATGTATCAGGTATTTGTGCCAAATTTGGTCCAGTGAAGGAAAATGCATCCTGCATATCGGAAAGTTACATTATGATTCATAACAGTGGCAAAATTACTGTTATGAAGTAGCAATGAAAATAATGTTATGGTTGGGGGTCACCACAACATGAGGAATTGTATTAAGGGGATGCAGCATTAAGAAGGTTGAGAACCACTGCTCTTAGAATATGGTGCTGTAACTGATCTGGAGGAGTCAGACTAATATAACAACAACCAACATTTGGCCAAGGTTCAGATGGCTTTCAACAAATAAGCACTAATGATCCCTGATTCTGATGACATGTTTTTAATTCATCACAAAATCATCAAATCCAAACCATACACCACTAAAGCATGCCCTGAAAATGTTGTTGAACCACTCTTTAAAAATTCCAAGGTAGAAGTTTCCACCTATTCCTCTGAGGCTATTTCTGTGTCATACAATGCTTACATTTAAAAGTTCTTCCTAGTGTTTAGGTAGATTTTCTTCTAATTTGGTTCATCTTCTGACCTCTGTAGTAGCAGAAAACAAGTTTGTTTCATCTTCCAAATGATACCCATCCAAGTATTTAAAAGGGCTGTCATATCACCTCTAAGTCTTCTCTTCTCCAAGCTAAACACACGTCATTGCTCATTTTCATAACTCTGTCTTATTGTCTGATTGATTAATTAATCAAAAGATTTATGTCCCATCAATCACTCTGATGTCCCTGCCTTTCAATATAGTTAGCACATCCTGATGAGACAACAGTAAGTCATAAAAAATAGACAGTGTCGTCATATCAGTGGTTGATATTGAAATAACATTGGATGCCAGGTGGAAAATATTTACTAAACATACTCACAGACAGCATGAGTTTTCAAGTAAGGTTTAAGGTTGTTAAGAGTTTTGGATCTGGAGGATGCTGAATTGGAAAAGCCAAGTGCAGATCAGAATTTGGAAGTAAATAGTTATGGAAATCTAGTTGCTTACATTCAGTTCTTTCTTTCTTTCTTTTTGAGTTAACTAAGATGCATTTGAATTGTAAGTTAATGAGAAGGATGTTATTTATTTATTTACTTATTTACTTATTTATTTATTTCTCATGTCAGGGCAGCCAGTCAATTATATTACATTTCTAACAGAACAAAGCAAACAAACAGAGAAAATACAAAATGTGTGAGTTTGGTAGTTGATTAAATGTCCTTTGACCAGTATCTGGCCACTTGGAGTGCTTCTGGTGTTGCTGCAAGAAGGTCCTCCATGGTGCATGTGGCTGGGCTCAGGTTGCATTGCAGCAGGTGGTCAGTGGTTTGCTCTTCTCTGCACTCGCATGTCGAGGATTCCACTTTGTAGCCCCATTTCTGAAGGTTGGCTCTGCATCTTGTGGTGCCAGAGTGCAGTCTGTTCAGCGCCTTCCAAGTCGCCCAGTCCTCTGTGTGCCCAGGGAGGAGTTTCTCATTTGGTATCAGCCATTGGTTGAGGTTCTGGGTTTGAGCCTGCCACTTTTGGACTCTCGCTTGCTGAGGTGTTCCAGCGAGTGTCTCTGTAGATCTTAGAAGGATGTTACACCTCAGGTTTTGAAGTTGTTTTTGGTTACTTGAATGTGGCTTCACTAGAAGTAGAAGGAATATCACCTGGTTCAGGTTCTGCCTTATACTATGCTTGATCTGTCAATGTTTATCTGGGGGGACAGTTCGGAAACTCTGGAGGGGTCCATCAGATGCATTAAAAAGATCAAAGCCACACCTGCTGTATCGTAACTTTGAAAGTTATGATTATAATTAAGCTGCATTCAGAACTGAACTACTTTAAAACATGGAACTAATGACTTTTAACATTGCTTTCCAAGTACAAAGTTGGTATAAAGCAGCTTCAATTTTCCTACAAAATTCATTTGAATCCATTTTAATTAGGGGCCTTTATTTCTAATTTATTTTCCCAGTGAAGTATTTCACTTTGGATTTCCTGCTGAATATACAATCACTTTCCTTCTCCGCCTCCTGCCAGAAAGCCCCAGAGAAACCTTTGCTGTGTGGCAGATAACAGATGAGGATTTCCAGCCTCTCCTTGGCATCATCCTTGACCGTAAGTAGGTTCAAAGAACATTCACTGATTGTCCCCAAGGAAAAAGGCCTTTGTGATGACTTCCTTTTGACCTGGCATCAAATCTGGTTTCTTTTCTTTGCCAGTAGACCAATATTTTCTTTACAGAAGCTGGACATGATAACCTTGTGGCCCTTTAGATTTTGATTACTCCAGTCATCTCTCTCCCTCTGACCAGATGTTCATGGCTGTTGGAAAAAGTTGATTAGGTTGGAAGAGGCTGAGAAGAACTAGCCTGTCAACATTTGGAGGGCAACATGTTTTCTAGTCTTCTTCTCATGGAATTTAGTCACAGGTTGTTGTTGGTGTGTGTGTGTGAGTATATGTCTTTGACATTCACTGGGGCTTGGTTCCAGGACTCCCCATGGATACCACAATCCATGGCTGTTCAAGTCCCATGGCAGACCATAGTGACATTGACTGTTTCAGAAGGAGGTGAACTCTCCTTCTTTGGGGGTGTTTAGGGAGAGGTTGGATGTATGGCTCTCTGAGTGCTTTAGCAGTGGATTCCTGCACTGGAAGAACAAGATGGCCCTTCAGTTGTTTCCATAATCATCATCATCATCAGCAGCAGAAGCATCATAACAATAATAATTTATTACCTGCCTCTCCTTGTGGCTCAAGGTGGGGTACAACATGATAAAACAGATATAACAAATATACAGGTAAACAGATATAACAAATATACAGGTAAAATGCCGATTAAAATTACCAATAAACTGCAGGTTAAAATTCGCAAGTCAAAATGGACTGGCTAGCTCTGATGGAAGAGATGGATACTCAGTTGCATTTTAAATTCTGACAGTGGATTTAGTTGTCAGATCTCTTCTGGCAGGTCTTCTTTTGGGACAGTCAATAAAAAGGTCCTCTGGGTGACAGATGCCACTCAGGTTTTGGATGGCTGGAGTCAGCATTTCCCAGAGGACCTCAGTGTCCAAAGGAGCAGATTGTATGGGAGAAGGTGATTCTGTAAGTAATGTGGACCAAAACCATGTAAGACTTTAACAGTCAAAGCCAACACTTTGTACTTTGTCCAGAACTAACTGGCAACCAATGGAGTGACTGTAGTGTAGAGGTAATATGCTCCCTCCTAGATGTTCCTGTAACTAGTCTGGCTGCCGTGTTTTGTACTAATTGGAGTTTCCAAACTTGGTGCAGAGAAAGCCCAGTATAAAGTGCATAGCCGAAGTCCAACCTTGAGCAACAAGAGGTATTTCCCATTGTCTTCTACTTGATGATGTTAATAATAGAAATAAAAGTGGAACTTTCTTCATGCAAAGCATGTGCTCTGTTGGTTCCTCTGTTCAATATCTTTATAAATGACTTTGATGATGGAATAGAGGGTATACTTATCATGCTTATCCTGTCATCCAGGAAGGGAAATTTCTCACACTTTCTGACAGTGCAGCAATTAAATTAGATGGATTATCGCTGACACCCATTGGGAATGGGAAAATCAAGAATAACCATCCCTACTGTGGTAGCCTTAGTGTTGCAGCTCAGCCACCTGTTTGATTCCTTTTCACCCAGACATCACACAATTCAACAGTAATAATGAAATTAAGAAAAAAGTATATAAAAAGCAACAGCGTCAAAATCATTTAAAATAAGCAAACTAAGCATGCAAGAAAGTAAAATCAAAGGCCAGGTTGTAAAAGCAATATCCAATTTAAATCTGTGAGCTAGATATCAAGAGCTTTACAAAAGGCAAAGAGCAAATCTGAGCTCTGTTTCACCATTGCCTTACCACCAGTTACTTTCAGTGGGACAATGAATTCTACGAACAGAAAGATGGAGTAGCTATGGGGAGCCCTCTCAGCCCGGTCATAGCTAACTTTTACATGGAACACTTTGAAGAACAAGCCCTGGAAACAGCAACCAAAAAGCCCACGATATGGTTCAGATATGTGGATGACACCTTCACCATTTGGAGCCATGGAGAAGAAGAACTAAACAGGTTCCTGGACCATCTTAACAGCATCCACCCAAACATCCAATTCACCATGGAAAAAGAAAATGAAGGAAGACTGCCTTTTCTAGATGTCCTAGTCATCCAAACCAGATCAACAATTGGGTCACACCGTCTACAGAAAACCCACACACACAGATAGATATCTACATAAAAACTCCAACCATCACCCAAGTCAAAAAAGAAGCACCATTAAAGCCTTGGCAGACCGTGCAAAAAGAATCTGCGAACCCCACCTCCTCCAAGATGAACTGAACCACCTCAACTGGGCTCTCCAGGCCAATGGATACTCCACCTCAGACATCAGAAGAGCTGCAAGACCACGAACAAGCCACGAGAGGAAAGATGAAGATCCACCCAGAGGAAAAGTGTTCCTGCCATACATCAAGGGAACCACTGACCGCATAGGGAAGCTGATGAGGAAACACAACATACAAACAATCTACAGACCCACCAAGAAAATCCAACAAATGCTACGTTCAGCAAAGGACAAGAGGGATCCTCTCACTCTCTGCAGGAGTCTACCGTATACCATGCAGCTGTGGACAAGTCTACATAGGGACCACCAACCGCAGCGCCCAAACACGAATCAAGGAACATGAAAGGCACTGCAGACTACTTCAACCAGAGAAGTCAGCCATAGCAGAGCACCTGATGAACCAACCTGGACACAGCATATTATGTGAGAACACAGAAATGCTGGACCACTCTCACAACCACCATGTCAGACTACACAGAGAAGCCATTGAAATCCACAAGCATGTGGACAATTTCAACAGAAAGGAAGGAACCATGAAAATGAACAAAATCTGGCTACCAGTATTAAAAAACTCAAAAATTATAACAGCCAAACAACAGAGAGGAAAAAACCAGGCACAGATTAACACCTCCCAGCAACAGATTTTCCCAGGCTCAGACAGGCCTTCAAATGCTAATGAAGGTGATCAGCTAAACATTCACACCTAACTGCAGCAGGGAAGAGCTCCTTGCCCCACCCCAGCCATTCCACAGATATATAAGCCCATTTTTCCTACTTCCAACAGACCTTCTCAACCTCTGAGGATGCTTGCCATAGATGCAGGCGAAACGTCAGGAGAAATGCCTCTAGAACATGGCTCTATAGCCCGAAAAAACCCACAAGAACCTAGTAAATCTGAACATGAATCCAAAAATCACAGAAGGGAGAACAAGAAACTGGAATCCCAAGGTGGTGGCACTCACAACATGACTATAATTTCAAAGGCTTGAAAACTTGACTGTAATCCCAAAGGCTTGAAAGCTTGAAACAAGATTTCTAATCCAAACAGGAGACATGAAACTTAAACAGGAAAAAAAAACAGAACCCCTGACTTGGAGTTTCATTGACAGGCAACTTGATACATGAAATTCCAATATTGATCTCCACAAAGAATACAGCCTCAGATTCCTTAAGAAGTCTTCCTCTTACCTAAACATCATTCTTTCCCATATCTGGGCTCCCTTTGTTTGTCTTTCAGTCTCTGAGAACAACAAATCTGTCTCTGCTTCGCACCCTCCCATCTGAACAATAAACACGGGGTTATTAGTAACCCTCTGGTCTCCTCCACATTCCTTTCACAGTCAGTCCCTGGGAGATTCTCATGAGAGACACAGTCTGTTTCCACAACAAAATATCTATTCAAAACATCTTGAAAAACACTTTTGCTTTCCCCCACAGAAGTAACAGGCTCCAACAAAAAATCCTTGACCTCATCCTCAGAGGCTTCCCAGGTCTCTAACTAAAACAGCACCACTTTCCCAAGTTCTGGTATATATGTCTCCAACATGCATACATATTTTTCCAATAGGTCATTGTGTAATGTGGTATTCCTATTTTCACCTGTTTTTCTATTCCACTCCAGCTATGAGCACATGAAGAGGAATATATTTCATAAGTTGTGTATCTCAAAAACTAGAACTGACAGGGGAAAAGTGGTGTCATTTTTTAAATCAGCAAATCAAATATACCCAGAAACAGGTCTAATATTTGAGGCTTCAAAATGTGTGTTAGCCAATGTTATCTCTCTGGATATAAAGCGTTGAATCTGCAATTAGTAAATAATAGTACATCATGCCTGTATTATTGCCTTTAAAACAATGTTTTTATTTCTCCCTTTTCTTCACATAGCAAACAAAAAAACCTTGATATTCTTTCATCGGGATTATGAAGCAGATGTAGAGGAAATCGTCTTTGACCAACCAGAAGTGAAGAAAATATTCTATGGAAGTTTTCACAAGGTCCTTATAAAATAGAGGAGAAATCGAAATACACAGGATGATTCAAATGTCTTGTTTTTGGTTTGAATTTTCTGGAGGAGGTTATTGGGAACATTTTTTTTTTTAGGATTTTTGCTAACCTGTTAGTGTTTGTGTGTGTTGAAACATTAACTAATTTAGTATGTGTATGTGGAAGTGGAGGTTGTTCCAGCACAGTGATGAATTGCTAGTACATTTCCTGTCTGTATGGGCTAATCTATTCAAATGTATGCATAAATGTATCCAAGAATACATGCAGTAAGGAAACATGAAGTCTCCAAAGAGAAAATAATAACAACAATCCAGTGACTAAGGTATTAAAAATGATCTACAAATTAAACTGACATAAGTAGTTGGACCCATAAAGCTCCTTACACTGAATGAGATCATGGTTCCATCAAATGCCAGAAGCTTTGCAAGATTTGATGCCAGATCTTTCTCAGCTCTGTTATTTAAGTTATTTTTAAATCAGAGGAATCACAGTGAGTCTGGGACTTGTTGCAAGTGAAGTACGTGCTCCGTTCACCGTACATGCATGATGCAGTTTAATTTATATGAAATAAATATCTTTCCTTCATTCACGAACTTTGAGATTGCTAGCTGAGTATTGCAGTGGCATGTGAGGTAAACTGTATCAACCATTTTGCGGAACATAAGGTGGGAGTGAAGACATTTAATTGGATTTCATGTATCTGGATAAATAATAACCCAGATACATGGCAATGGCAGATCTTGGAAAGGTTAACTTTTGGGACTATTATGTATTATTTATTTGCGGTATTTATATACTGCCTTTCACAACCCCGAAGGGGACTCAGGGCAGTTCACAATGTTGGTAACAATTCAATGCCTATGCTATAAGTAACAGAATTCCCCATCAGCATGGCCATGGCCAGGTGGTATTCCACAAAGTAACAAAGTAAGGAAACTCCTAGCATTATGTCCCAATGCACTTTATCAGAGATCCAGGATATCTGCATGCCCATCCCCCTCCTAACACACCACCTTGTCATGCCCAGCACTTTTAATTGCGTCATTGGGTGTTGTTAATGTTATTGCTTCGGGTTTTTTTTTTAGTTATTGTGTTGTTATTGTTGCTGCTGTTTTTATTGTTGTATTTGGGCTTGGCCTCTTGTAAGCCTCATCGAGTCCTTCGGGAGATGGTGGCGGGGTACAAATAAAGGTTTATTATTATTATAACTTTTCTAAATTTGGAGTTATGCTGACACATATGCTGAAACAAATTATTTCACATATTTGTACCCCGCCTTTCTCTACACAAATTGTCACAAATAACTACTACTACTACTTCTTTATTAATAGTGTGCCCTATCTCCTCGAGGGGACTCAGGGCAGTTTCTAGCTAACAAAAAAAAAAAAAGGAAACATTTGATGCCTCTGTACAACAACAAATACAAACATAATAGCCCAGAATAACCCCACATATGAAGACAATTTATAACATGACGTCTGTAGATTTAATCAAATGTAACCTATCCAAAAATTATACCTAACATGAAACCTAAACATAAAACATCCACATTAATTTACAGAAACCAATGAAGGTTCACTGAGATATGTGAGTTAATTGTGTGTTCAGTGATGCTAACTGGGCTAACATGGTCTGACAAAGCCCAAATACAATAATAGTTTTCAGTCAGAGGTCTAGGAGCGGTCTCTCATCATCTAACCCTCCTCCTCCTCTCTTTTTCAGGGTTATTTTTTTTTGGAGGAGAGTAGGGAGGTTCCAGAGGTGGGGGGAGATCACAGAGAAGGCCCTCTTTCTCGTTTCCATTAGCCATGCTTGGGATGGGGGTGGGACTAAGAGCAGGGCCTCCTCCACTGACCCCAGTGCCTGGGTTGGTTTATAGTAGGAGATGTGATTAGTCTAATAACATGGACCTGAGCCATTCAGGGCTTTAAAGGTGATGACTAGCAGTTTGTATTTAGTCTGGAAGCAGACCGTCAGCCAATGGAGCTGCTGTAAGATGAGAGTGGATCTCTGTCTGTACGGAGCTCCAGTTAGTAATATTTGAATGCATTAGAATGATCAAATTCCAACATCCAGATTTTACTTTCAAAATAGCAGCTCAATTTCAGAACAGTTGGGGGAATAAAGCCCACCTAACATCTCTTGGAATGATAAAATCAGACAATCATAGAATCATAGAGTTGGAAGAGACCCCGTGGGCCATTCATTGGTTAATTACAAATTAAAAGCATCTTTTAATTTCTTTGGCATCTTTTAATTTGTAATTAACCAATGACTCCATTATTTTCTTTGCTTCACACCAAATATAAACTTTCATAGAACAAGAGTTGGTAAGCAACTCCTTCTATGTCCCGCCTCGGAGTCTAAGATCCTCTGGGGAAGGCCTGCTCTCGGCCCCACCTCTATCACAAGTGAGATTGGTGGGGACGAGGAGCAGGGCCTTCTCGGTGGTGGCCCCTTGCCTGTGGAATTCGTTTCCCGGGGAAATTAGGTCATTGACATCCCTCCTCTCTTTTAGAAGGAAATTAAAAACATGGATATGTTTTTAGTTATCTTTTGGGTAATCTGGCAGATAGACAAAGGACAATGACGACTAGAATTGATAGGATTTGACAATGTGGAATGAATTTACGGATTCTGAGCTGGCGAATGTTGAGCATTAGACTGGTTTTATTGATTGTGATGTATAATAGATTGTTTTAATTGTTTTATAATTGCTGTTTATATATGTTTTTATCTTATTGGGTTGTTGTAGGTTTTTCCGGGCTATATGGCCATGTTCTGGAGGCAATTTTGCTCCTATCTTATTGTTTGTGTTGGCATCAAATTGTGCCTTTTGTAAGCCGCCTTGAGTCCCCCCTTGGGGGTTGAGAAGGGCGGGGTAGAAATGCGCGAAATAAATAAATAAATAAAATAAGCATTGATCTAGGAAGTGCTGAATTTTCATTAAGAGTTTACCTGGAGCGACTTCACTATCATCCATAATAGAAATATGGATCATCATAACCAGGATTCCCCTGTAATGTAGAACTACTGCAGAGATGGGAATGCCACCTTAGGGAACCAGTTGCCTGTGACAATTGCCACCATTTCCCTTCCAGGCATCCAAAAATGCCAGTAGTGGTATTTGCAGTGGGAAGGTAGAGGGGAGTCAGTGATTCTTTTATTTACCCAATTAATATCCCGAATTTCTCTACCTCGAAGGAAACTGAAAGCAGACTTACAACAGAGGCAATTATTCAATGCCAGAAACACATACAATTCCAAACTTAAAATTATAGATTAAAATGTAAAATGGGAACGAGGGATAGGGCCTTTTCTGTGGTGGCCCCACGGCTTTGGAATGCCCTCCCTATAGAGATAAGATCAGCCTCCTCGCTGATGGCATTTCGAAAAAAACTGAAAACATGGATGTTTGAGCAAGCATTCGGCTAATCCGATGCGATGAAGTTTTGATCAAGGACTGGTAATTACAGACAACGAAATTGGATTATGATTTAAGTTAAGAGATGCATTGGTCTGTATTGGTGGCCCAATACTGTGTATTGTATATGTATGTGTTTTATATTTTTATCGGAATATTGTTGTTTTTAATATTGTAAACCGCAATGAGTCGCCGTTTTAGGCTGAGATATTAGCGGTATACAAGTGTACTAAATAAAATAAATAAATAAATAAATAAAACATATTAGAAACCTAAAAACAACCCATTCCATGTTAAAATCACGCCATCCATAGCCAGGGGCGGCTCAACCCATTACGCAAAGTAAGCATTTGCAGTATAGTTGATTTTGCCCAGAGGCGCTCTTGAGGTGCTCTTGGGGGAAAATTGACCTTGAAATATGCGAGTTGTAGTTACTGGGATAGTTCACCTAAAATCAAAGAGCATTCTGAACTCCACCAATATACACACAGAACCCCCATGACAAACAGAAAATATATATCAGTGATTGGTTGGTGGGGGGGGGGGGGGGGGGGGGGGGGGGGGCAAAATACTGTTTGCTTACCTTTGAAAATTACCTAGGGCCGCCTCTGTCCATAACCATAGTCCAAGCCGTTCCATTGTCACTGTACCTATTCCAAATCTGTTATTGCATTACAGTATCCTCCAAAAGCCAGATCCCACAGCCAAGTTTTTTTCTACATTTCCTCTGAAGCCTAGGATGTGTCTTTTAGGTTCTCCAGGGTTGGACAAAACTCTTGCCTTTTACAACTCAGAAAAAGGGATAGTTCTTTTTTTATGAGAGTTGAGATGCAATTAAACTGAACCATGGATAAGATGCGCCAGGATTTGGGAGTCATTTTTTAAAATTTGAAATGTCTAGACATATACATGAGTAATGAGTATATACCAGGCATGGGCAAACGTTGGTTCTCCAGGTGTTTTGGACTCTAACTCTCACAATTCCTAATAGCTGATAGGCTGTTAGGAATTGTGGGAGTTGAAGTCCAAAACACCTGGAGGGCCAAAGTTTGCCCATGCCTGGTATATACAGTTATTTTTTGTTAGTCCCAAACACTGCAGCATCTCTTTTACTTCTTTACTCCTTTCTGGACTAAAATAAGTAAACAAGTTTATATATTATCTTTTACTCCTTTCTAAAGTAAAAGTTAATATATAATCTTATTCTGAATGTTTTCATGATTGATTCCTGCTTTTCCCACTCGGTGTGGTTCTCTCTGCACTCTCTTTTTATTAAAGTTGTTTTATGGTTTATTCTTAAGCCACAGCAATGGAATGAATCTACCAAGTCCAAGGCTATGACCAGCATAAAAGTAATAAAATAAAAAATGCATTATTATTATGATGTTTATTTATATCCAGCTTTTTCTCTCCACAAGGAGATTCATGAAACCAATATAATCCAAAAACAATGCATTAAAATAGCCAAGATATAAAAGTCAGGGCAGGTTTGTTTATTTGTTTTTTTAAAAAACAAAACAAAAGCATAATGAAACATGTTTACAGGGTTCAGTATTTCATTCTTTCAGGGTTAATGCTGGATGTTGAATTTTGAAATGTGGCTGCAAGCTGCCTTGAAAGCTTCCCCTTAAATAAATAAAAAATGCCATGTCTATTAGTACTATTATGCACCTGAAGTGCCCTCTTTCCATTGAGCTCACAACAAGGAAACCTTTGGCTTTTGAAATTTCTATGAGAGTCCTAATAATGCCAACATTTGATCTTCTATTCATCTTTTAAACTCTGCTTATATGATTGACTCTTGAAGTAAGGGCTGCCATTTATTCTTTCCTGTTACCTCTCTGCTTTTGTACATTAATGGTGTTAGATGGGACTATCCTCACTTGGCTCCAAATTTCCCCAATGGTATAGTTCAAAGAGACAGGACTCAGCATACCAGAACCGTTTGCGTAAGAGGACCTCAATGGTGAATTATTTAATGATGGATTGAAGTCCACTCATTCTGGTTTTACTGTTTCGAATGCCTCTGCCTGCTTTAAAGGCAGATGTATATTACTTTGTTCTGTCTTTTTATCCTTCTATTATTATTTCCAATCTGTTTCTCTCTCTACTTGAATCAAGCAATCTCGTTCTGTCAATCCATCCAGCTCCCTCTTCTGCTTTGGGCCATTCCTTTACCTGTCTGCTTTTGCAAAATGTTCCCTTGATCATTATCAATCTCACCTTTTACAACTTGTTTCCTGGATCACCAGAAATCCCTCTTCACCAAACCTAGGAGTGAAAAGAAATATTGCTAGACTCAGTAGTTCTAAAGGAAAACACAGTAGCATTTGTCTATTTCCCCAAAAATTGTGAGAATTGGTGTGCCTTTAGCTTGTATGTGAGCCCCCGGTGGCGCAGTGGGTTAAACCCCTGTGCCGGCAGGACTGAAGACTGACAGGTCACAGGTTCAAATCCGGGGAGAGGTGGATGAGCTCCCTCTATCAGCTCCAGCTCCTCATACGGGGACATGAGAGAAGCCTCACACAAGGATGATAAAAACATCAAATCATCCAGGCATCCCCTGGGCAACGTCCTTGCAGACGGCCAATTCTCTCACACCAGGAGTCACTCCTGACACGACAAAATAATAATAATAAAAAAAGCTTGTATGTACCTTAAAGGGCCTATTTGAGAAAGAAAGTATTGACAAAATATAATCAGTATGATTTAAACCGATCCATTCACATCTTTAACCCAACCTCACAAGGTTAAACTCTAGAGTTGGTGTCATCCAGTGGAGTTATCCCCCTCTCATTGGCCTGGGTCCCTTCAGGGAGATACAGTGGGTTATAAATACATCATCATCATCATCATCATCATCATAATTTGAAACACAACAAGATTAGTATACAGCAAGCAATATCACTGCTGGCTGGTGTATTGAATCACATGTTGGACACTTCCCAAGTGTCTAGGACTGTGTGATTTTTTGGCGAATAATGTGTGCAGATTCGAGTAGGGTGGCCTTTTGCAGCTGACAAATGGTAGTTTTATCAGCACCAATTGTGTTTAAGTGCAGGCCAAGGTCTTTAGGCACTGCACCCAGAGTGTTGATCGCTACTGGGATCGCCTTTACTGGCTTGTGCCAAAGGCGTCGTTGTCTTCTTCTTGTTCTTCTTGTTATTATTCGTCTTGTTCTTCATCTTGTTCTTCATCTTGTTCTTCTTGTTCTTCTTGTTCTTGTTCTTGTTCTTCTTCTTCTTCTTCTTGAACAGGTCAATAACGATATTTAACAACACATTTCTGCTAAAACACCTCACATGAGGATGCGGCACCCCTAAATCCATCCATACTCGCTCACACTCTTCCTTCCTTCTCTCCATGTCATTGACTCATGTCATTCTGGTGGCAAGGAGAGCATGTGGACAACAGAGGTGGCTTCCCAGGCAAGATTCCTCTTCCACATTTTCCTCTTCCACATTATAAAACTGATTGAATTAGTGATTGAATCTTGCTTCATTACTTGCCATGATCTATCCTTTGTAGCATATGAAGGCACCAAGCTGCCATAGGGATTATAGGGCAGCTCACATATTATGCTTCTTCTTCTCATCTTTGGAATTAAGTGTTATTCTGTCTAATGATAGGGCCAACCCCAAGTGAACTTGGGATCCAGCCAGAGTAAATCCTGTTTGTTTAACTATGCCTTGTTTGTGCCTGGAAGCACTTTCCCCCCTACTGTGAAGGTTATTTTAGAGCAGAATTCCTAACATCTGCCACTCAACCTGTAAAAATGTCTTGGACCACTAGTTTTTGATTGCCATTAACATCTAAATCTAATAAGCCATAAGAACTTGTTTGTCTGTGATTAAACAGACTTACATGGGAATCTTCTTCTGAAGATAGTTTCCTCAATTGTTTCTTTAAGGATTTTTTTTTGTGTCAAGAGCAATTTGAGAAACTGCAAGTAGCTTCTGGTGCAAGTAGCTTCTTGTGTGAGAGAACTGGCTGTCTGCAAGGATGCCCTGATGTTTTACCATCCTGTGGGAGGCTTCTCTCGTGTCCCCACGTGAGAAGCTGGAGCTGACAGACAGGAGCTCACTCTGCTCCCTTGAACTGAGCTGCCGACATTTTGGTCATTAGTCCTGTCAACACAAGAGTTTAACCCATTGCACCACCAGGGTCTCTGTTTCTTTCAGTTAACCCAGACAGATGATACGATTATGTTGTTGTTTATTGTTTGCGTTTTCAGTTTTATTTTATTGTAATTTGTTGTTTCAGCTTGGCCTCATGTAAGCCGCTCCGAGTCCCCATCGGGGAGATGGTGGCGGGGTATAAATAAAGATTATTATTATTATTATTATTATTATTATTATTATTATTATTATTATTAGAAAAAGAAAAGGTCTTGCAGAAATGCCATTATAATTGACACTTTTGTTGGTTCAAAATGTGGTTGGATACTTTTCCTTAAAAAGCTTCTATTGAAAAAAAATCCACTAACTTGTTGTTGAAATAAAATAGATTTTCTAGAGTTCTGTTGAATAAGCCTCTGTTTCGCCTTCTATCTGCCTTAAAGCCCCCAGTAGAGATGTAGGAAGCACAAAACAATCCATCTGGCCTCGTGGGTTTTGTCAGGTCCTTGGACTGTTATCCACTCCTTCATAGAGCAACCTTTCCTCTCTTCCTCCCATACACAATAGAGGATTTTGGGTGGAAAATAATACACAAAGCCTTCAACAACACAATACACAAAGCAATGCACTTTCCTTTGGCAAGGCATGCTAATTCAGAGTCATTGATATGCTTTTGTATATACAAAAATGAGTTTCTCCTCCCACATTTTTCATATGTACCCATTTCACCATAATCCATCACTTTCAAAAATAACGCAATATGTTCCACCAGTACATATACAAATGTTAACATAAATTTTGAGGGTAGTGGATCTTCACATTCCTTTGAGACAAAGGAATCCTGTAATAAAGAAGTTGCCTCTTTTTTGGAACAGATAAAATCTTGTATTTGTGGATGCTGTGATGGATTTCATCAGGCAAAAATCCCATATGAAATTGGTCAGGCTGTAGCTCAGTTCAGACAATGAATTTGTGATGTGTGTGTGTGTTAATCACAACTTTTCAGGAGGATAGTTAAACTTGGGTTCTCCATATCAGTGATCTGGTTATGGAAGTTAAAGCCTACATCTTCTCTATCCAAGGCTGATATGCTATAACTTTCGACTCGCTGGTATACAAACAAATCTGAGTATACTGTTTTGACTGGGTCCAGAAGTCTTTGATTACATAACATTGCATCGAATGCTCTGCTATCAAGGTGAAGTGCGATGTAACTATTTTTGTCTGTTGAGCAGGTGCATGTTTCGGTGAACCATTCCAAGGTCAAGCTCTATATTGACTGCAGGAAAACAGCTGAGAAGCCACTTGGAACTTCTGAAACCATCTCAACAGCTGGCTTTGTCATGCTGGGGAAGCTAACAAGAACGCGAGGGCCACGGAGTGGGTCAGCAGCAGTAAGTCTTCTCTGTATACCCTTCATGAAAAAGCTCTGTCTTTGTTCTAAAATAGAAGGTACACTTGACAGCAGAGGTTGGCCTTTTGTGGCCTTTGAAATGTTGCTGAGTGCATGGCATCACTTATCCTGGTGAGGTCAGATGGAAGCTCTAGTCCTTCAGCATCTGAAGGCCACAAATGATCCATCTCTCCTTATTAGAGCAAAAGGTAATGGTGCAAATAAGAGTAAGATGCCACACGGAATGGTGGAGCCTATTTGTCATGTTCCCTTCCAAAACATAGATGTTGCTTTGTTGCCTGAGGATTTCAGGAGTAGTAGTCTGATTTATTTTCCCCCAAGTTCTGCTCCTTCTTTATTATCACAGCCAATTCTTCCCTGAACATCCCTTCAGGATTTTCCATGGGGATGGGAAGGCTATGTCACAGGTGAAACGTGAGGTTGTAGAGTACTCCTGATGCTTCTGATTGAGTTGCTTTCATTCTGTAGCCTTGGAGTTAGTTCTTCAAAGTACATTACACACATTGCAGTTTGAACTGCACTATTTAAGCCCCAATGCCACTGACCATTTAATGCAGTTTGGAGTGAGCTTCAAAATGTGATGGCCATCCAAACCTGCATTGTATGGAATCTCTAGAGGAAGATGTTATATCTCAGAAAACAGTTTCCCCACAACATCCACTACTTTGGATGTCAATTTCAAAAGTTAACATTCTCTTCCTCTAGAAATCTTCTTAACTATTTTTCTGTTTTCCTATGCATTGCATCTATTCACTCGGGTCCAATTTTACTGCATATATGCCTTCCTGCACAGCTACTAGCTTGGAGCAAGAGCTGTGTATAAGTCTTGTTCTATTGCTAGGTCATATCAGTTTCTGGTTTTTCCATTCATGTTTCTTCTGCTGAATTCTGCATTTGCTTCTAATTCCTTCAACACACACAAACAAACTCATTCTCTTTTTAATGATGTTCCCCATGGAATACAGATTTTGTACACATTTTACCATAACAGATATTTTAAATTGATATGCATTTTATTTTTTGGAAAAAAGATACTTGTTTTAGAATGCAACTCGCAGTCACATTTTGTCCATGATTGGTAGTCATTAAAGCTGTGGGACCTTTGCAGTCCAAAATGCTTTTAGTGGGTATTTTTGAGCCAAGAACAGTATTACATAATTCACAGAAGTACAAATACTGAAGCATAACTTCTGTTCTAATCTGTGTTTCTCTCCAAAACGGATGAGTCAGCCTGGTTTACTAAAAATTTAGACTTGATAAATTCAAGAGGAATCTTTAGCAGGTGAACTGTATAGGTTTGTATAGGGAAAGCTCTGTATAGTTGTGTGGATTCAAATAGCCATGATAATATTTGGGTTAATAATGGCAAAAAATGAACCTTGATTATGTCATGCACCATGCACAATGCTAATGTGTAGGCATACTTTTCTATATCCTCCTACCATTTCACAAATACTCAGGCTCCCTCCAGCACTTGTTTGAGTTGTTCACCATTTTATAAAAGGAACACCCTTTTTGTGCTCCATTGTATATAATTGGACTTGAACATCTATGGATTTTGATATCCATAGGGATGGTCCTCAAACAAAACCTCAGCAGTTAGCAAGGGCCCACTGTATATGGCTTATATGCCCTGAGTATATAGGGTACAAGCCTAAGGGCTCCATGGAGTACAGTTGGAGAATCACTACTTTAAAGTATAAAAAGGTAAAGGTAAAGGTAGTCCCCTGACATTAAGTCCAGTCATGTCTGACTCTGGGGTGTGGTGCTCATCTCCATTTCTAAGCCGAGGAGCCAGCGTTGTCCATAGACACCTCCAAGGTCATGTGGCCGGCATGACTGCATGGAGCGCCGTTACCTTCCTGCCGGAGCAGTACCTATTGATCTACTCACATTTGCATGTTTTCGAACTGCTAGGTTGGCAGAAGCTAGGGCTGACAGCGGAAGCTCATGCCGCTCCCCGGAATCGAACCTGCGACCTTTCGATCAACAAGCTCAGCAGCTCAGTGCTTTAACCCACTGTGCCACCGGGGGCTCCTTACTTTAAAGTATACTTAAGCATATTTAACTACGTAAGTAACTTGCCATAGCCCACTCAACAACAAAACATAGCAAAAACATAATTTTGCTATGCTTTGATTCCCAGCAGAATGGACAGCCAATGCCTGCTAATATAGTTTGGATAAGTTGTTATAATAGTGACTACTAAAATTGTGAATGGATCTGTTTTTAAAAATGGTCTTCAGTTGGATCAGCTGGTCAGATGCTTATAACAGCAAGGGCTCCGCTGCCATTTTTTTCCCAGCTACAACAGAACAGTGGCTGCCAAAAAATGGCTGCTTTTGGTTTCTTTTGGCTATATGTGGAGGGTGGGAGACAGCCGCTATAAGGGAAAGGATCCCAGAAAGAGTGTTTTCTTAAGCCCTTGCCTTAAATCCAGGTCTCCTTGAAAGACAGAAGGGAAAGGATCCCAGGAAGGGTGTTTTCTTACATCCAGTTCTGGAAAGGGGAGCCTCATATATTCCCCGTTGCCATCAATGGGCCAGATCTTTCCGCTGCTAAGCCAAAAACATTTTTTTTTCCATTAGCTGATTTTGGAAGAGTTCCGAAAATGGATCCAGGAACCCACCAAAATTTGGATACCAGAAATGGATTGCAGTCCAGCCGAATTGCACAACCCTAGTGGCTACATAGCCACAGTTGTGCCACTATTCCCACACTCATACCCCCCCCCCCACACACACACACACCTCTTTATTGGGCATCAGTTGCAAGGGGGCAGTTCTCCCAGTGATCAAAGCATGGATGAATGATGTTTCTGCCCAATTTGAGGGTGAGATGTCTTGGTGAAATATACAAACTAATGGTTCATCTACACTAGGCATCCTCAAACTCTGGCACTCCAACAGTTTGTGTCTCCAACTCCCAGAAGCCCTAGCCAGCTTCTTCAATGGTCAGGAATCATAGAGCACAGTGATTTACATTGTAGAATTAGTGCAATTCATAATGGCTGCAACTGTCATGACTTAATGCTATGAGATCATGGGAGCTGTATGTTGAGTTTTTCTGCCAAAGAGTGCTGATACCTCACCAAACTACAACTCCGAGCATTGAGCCACAGCAGGAAAAGTAGAGTCAAACTGCATTAATTCTACAGTGTACATGTACCCTAACTAATCAATAGATAATACCCTTCTAAATATGCAAATATCCTATGCTATATATATCACTCTTAACACACAGGAATATATTCAAATATATTCAAATAATAAAATCAGAGACTGGGACGCAGAACAATGGCTTCAAACTACAGGAAAGGAGATTCCATCTGAACATCAGGAAGAACTTCCTGACTGTGAGAGCCGTTCAGCAGTGGAACTCTCTGCCCTGGAGTGTGGTGGAGGCTCCTTCTTTGGAGGCTTTTAAACAGAGGCTGGATGGCCATCTGTCAGGGGTGATTTGAATGCAATATTCCTGCTTCTTGGCAGGGGGTTGGACAGGATGGCCCATGGGGTCTCTTCCAACTCTTTGATTCTATGATTCTATGACCAGCACTTTGAATTGTGCTTGGAACTGTACTGGCAGCCAGTGGAGCTGACACAACGGGGATAGCATGCTCCCTGTATGTTGCTCCAATGAGTAATCTGGCTGCCGCCCGTTGAACCAGTTGGAGTTTCCAAACAGTCTTCAAAGGCAACCCCGCGTAAAGTGCATTGTAGTAATCTATTCAGGATGTAACAAAAATGTGGGCCACCGTGGCCAGACCAGACTTCCCAAGGTATGGGCGCAGCTGGAGCACTAGTTTTAAGTGTGCAAAAGCTCCCCCTGGCCACCACTGATACCTGGGGTTTCAGGCTCAGCGATGAATCCAGGATAACTCCCAAGCCGCGAACCTGTGTCTTCAGGGGGAGTGTAACCCCATCCAACACAGGCTGTAACCCTATGCCCTGTTCGGCCTTTCGACTGACCGGTAGAACCTCTGTCTTGTCTGGATTCAGTTTAAATTTGTTAGCTCTCATCCAGTCTGACACAGCTGCCAAGCATCGATTCAAGGTCTGGACTCCTTAGTAATAGGTGGGAAGGAGTGACCGATGATGATGATGATGATGATGATGATGATGATGATGATGATTTATTACCCACCTCTCCTTGTGGCTTGAGACAGGGTACAAAATTGTTGAAACTGCAAAATTGAATCAAGCACTGTTAAAATACATATAATAAATAATAGGCTTGGGTAACCACGGAAAAATTTGATTCTAAATTCGTTTTGTTTTTAGGGGGCCCTTGCGTTTCGTTTTTTTTAAGAATTCCGAAATTTTCCTTTTAAAAATTTCGAAATATACGAAATTTCGTAAAATTACGAATTGATTCGTTAATGGCGGATGCGATTGCTCAATATGCTAAAAAAAACACCAAAAGGGGCAGGGGGAACTTCTGAAGCTTCCCTCTCCCTCTGTTGTTGACTGTTGGTGTGATAAAACAAACAACTATATTATATTATTATAATATTATTATATTATATTGTTGTATATTATATTATAATATTATTATATTATATTATTATATTATATTATATTATTATAATATTATATTATATTATGTATATAATATTATAATATAATATAATAATAATATAATATAATATATATTATATTATTATAACATTATTATATTATACAGTATATTATAATTGTATTATATTATATTATATTATATTATATTATATTATATTATATTATATTATTTTATACTAGCTGTACCTGGCAACGCATTCCTGTGGCATAGAGTGAGGGTATGAAAAATAAAGTAATGAGAAATTTTGGGCAAGGAGGATGCCAGGAGAAAGAGGAGGGAGGGGGGAATGTGGGATTTGCCAGCTGGAAGGAAGGAAGGAAGGAAGGAAGGAAGGAAGGAAGGAAGGAAGGTAGCAAGGTAGCCCTGTGCAGCCCAGAGTGAGGCAAGAAGAAGCATGAGGAA